CTTCCTTGGACACAAACTTATTTAAAAGCTCATAAAAAACCCGCCCGCCCTTCTTAGAACTTGTCTCTAAGGGAGTCATTTTGTTTTTGCTTGCAATTCAATTACTTCCAACGTTAGTTCATCTGGGCAACCGGTCATATTTGCTTCAAATGGGTTTTGAAACAGTCTCAAGTGTTCTGCCCTTAAGTTCAAGCCAGAAAAACAGTAGTGAAATACCAGCTAGAGGTCCGTGATGAACATTTTTTTCCGTGGACAAAAAGGTATCCGCGGTCTGTAGTTTGGAAAGCCCTGGTCTAGAAAACAGTGAATTGTGCGTTTAAGTCTGTTTACCTCCCGGTCAAATATGGGTATTGAAGTCTATCGTCTAATCACAAAATATTAGCTTTGATTGTGATAATACCCCAGGTAAGATGTAGGTGTTGTTATAGCCCCGTGTATCACAAGAAGTTAGCTGTTAGTTTGCAATTTTATGTTATAATCTTACTTTGTTAATGTTGTAATCTAATATTTAAAGGTCAAACGGATTATGCAACTATATATGGTAAAATGACCCGTGATACCCATGCATATAGTAAAAAAACTCGACTTGATCGTCAGTCTAATATTTCCCTAGCATAATATTAACGAATTTTACTCTGTAAAACTTGGTTTATTTTCCAAACTAATTATGTTAAATAGCTTAATCGGAAATGAACAAAATTAAAGAAACCCTGTAGAATGAAGTTAAAAATTGTACACATTATTTCACTTTCTTCCTTTACTACCTATTTCCTTTCTTGATAGATCACGATAGGAAAACAAAGACTTCCCTTGAATCGGGAAAAAATTACTTTGTTAAATGTTTGAAAAAATAAATTAGCATGGATTGAAAAAGTGTAATATGGTATGTAAAACACGGACATTACCGACTTATATTTATTTATCAAACCGAACGTACTGTTTGCGAATTTTTATTTTTAAATTAATACCAATTTAGTAACCGATCCCAAATGCCTCTATGTTTACTTATATCTTTCCGTTTGCGGACAAACTGGAGGTACTATGGTCATTTTCTAATCAGGCGCGTCTGCCGACTCCACGGCATGGAGCGATTTGGTGCCCTAGGCTGCCCAGTGAGAACGATGATGCATACTTTCGTTTGATATCGTGCAATTAGCTGGGGGCACAAAAATGCTACTATAGTCAGTCACTAGGGCGTACTACGGGGCCCGACAGCAGTGGCGGAACTAGAAAAAATGGGCCACACCGCAAAAAGTATTTTTGGGCTCCATATATATATATATATATATATATATATATAATACGAACAAAGAATACTCATATCGGGCATGCTCGAGTTTTGAAAAATAATTAAACTTTCTTTGTTACATTTTTTTTATTTTTATTTTTGGGTTCTAGTAGTCTGTTTTGAAACTCTCAGTTTCAATATAGGCCTACGTCTGCTGTAATACTTCTTATAAAAATAGTCGGTCAAAAGTATATGTTGTATAAAAGCTTTGTAAATGTAATGGTTTCTCGCGTTATGTTTTTTTTTGTTGTATTTATATTATTAGTTTTAAATACTTTACCTTTTTATACTATGACATTCTTTATTATGTATTTTTAAAGAATAATAATAAATACTTAAGAGCTTTTTAATTTGCAAAAATGTTAAAAGGTGATTGAGAGCACATATACATGTTAATACTTACAAATGCCTGGGATTGGTTATAGATCACAACCTCACTTGGTCCGGTCATATCCATCTTCTAAAAATGTCCCTATTAAAGACAACTTTTCAACTAGTAAGGATAAAGAACCTTCTGGACTATAAGAGCAGGCTGGTTTTTATGAGGCTTTTATTCAATCTAGGTTGGATTATGCTTCTGTATTGTGGAGCGGCAGCTTTATAACTAAGTAGCGTCCTCTACTATCACTACGAAAAAAGGGGCTATAAAACTGGATATTTGCTTGTCTAGTAGTCTGGATTCTTTTATTACAACTAATATACTTAAATTAAATAAAAAGATAATATATACTAAAGCAATTTTTTTATATAAAATATTCCACGAAACAGCCCCCTCTTACTTATGAGACCTATTTTCTTTTAACATAAAATTAAATCGTCGTCTTAATTTACCGATCACATTTACAACTTTTTCCAAAAACATAGCTTCGCCTACTCTGGTTCTAATTTAAAGAACAATCTTCCTAACCAAATAAAACTATCTAGATCTGAAAATATATTCAAATCTAAACTAAAACAACAATTATTTAATTACTTCTCTAACTGACTCATTGAAACATTTCTCATTCATATTAGGCCTATATTCTTATTTTATCTCATCTTGTATTATAACTATGTAATATTATTTCTTTATTCCACATTTTTAGTGCTATGTTACTGCTATGCCGTTACTATGCTATTGCTTATTTAAATTCTGTTATTAAATTGTTATTTTTATTTGTTTATTTTAAATCGGCCAATGTGAAAAAAGGCCTCCGTGCCTACAATTGTTACAGTAATTGAATAAATAAATGAATAAATAAATAAATAAATAAATTATATTTGACTATTTGAACAAGGTAAATAAGTCATGGAACTGGTTTGAACGTTCGCCTATCTTTCACACTACAACTCATGCATATATTTTTTTTTACACAACAGTGTGTGTTACCTACTGTAGAACATCACTACTGTAATAGATCTGGTTTTTTTTACAATACCACTATCAGTTGTTGTTTAAGTATTGGGGCGCTAGTTTGTACACACTACCACAAACACGCACCGTTTTACACTGATGGTAAAAGAACCACCCATCGACGACGGCCTTGGTGTCAGAGGCGTCACGGTGCTCTTGGGACACGGCCACTGACGGAGGCCCCTATTGCAGCGAGACCAATGATTCAAGTAGTACACCTATCCCCCTGTGCAGGATACCCAATAAGCGGACCCCTGGTGCTTAGATAGCCACTGGGGATCTCGGGGCGCTCAACTACACATTTTAAACAAATGTTAGGTCTATGAGTACTCAGAATCTTTCCAAATTTTACCGAAGTTGGGATGGTCTCAACTACTTTTCCTAAAGTTTTTGTGAAACACTCAAGCGAGAGAATTCAAATTATCCACGTTTACTATCGTATTTGTAAAACAAAAAGAAGTAAACGTACATAAAACCAAAATTGTACAGAATAGTAGTTCTACCAATACAAAAAAAACGAACATTTTACATTATAAAATCACAATGGATTGAGGGCACCTAGTCAATGCTATATAGAAGAAAAAGTCGTCTTTATATCTATCGGCCTCTCACGCGATGGACTTTCATCTATTTTTAAAAGAATTTTGTCGACAACAGCGTGCGTTTATTGTAGGAGAAAGAAGACTCGGGATGGTGTCTATACAATAAAGGTAATCAAACCTCAGCTAAACTATTCTTTTTGACAAAACAACCATCAAGTCAAAAATGCAAGAAAATTATTTTTTTTAACTCTAAATAAATTGATTATGTCGGCTGTGGGCCCCTAAACGGCCTGCCTCCCCCCCCCCCCCCCGCATTGCGGGGTCTGGCGGCACTGTAGTTCTGCCCCTGCCTGACAGGGTGTTATTTTGGCGCCCCGGGCTTTGGCGTGTGTTTGTTTTTCTGTGTTTGTTTTTCTGTTTGTTTGGGGTTGGGTTTGTGTATGCTTTTGTATTTGAGTTTGTGTTTTAGTTTTGATTGGTTGTGTTAAGTTTATAGTTTGAATAAGGTCTAGGGTTTTGTGTTCTTTTGTCAAACCATGCAAGGGTTTTTTATTTTAGTCCCGTAGATTTTTATATTTGTATATTCAAATATATTTGTATATTTGTGTATACAAATATAATTGTATATTTTTCCCGTTGTACATTTTACTGTAGCTGACTCGGGTAGAATAATTAAATACCCCTAGCCAACGACGGCCTTATTGGCTAGTGCCCAAGCCAGTGTCAGCAACGTATTCGGTCGGCGACTAAGCAACCGGACGGCAACATCATAGTCCGGTCTGCAACAGTTGGTAAAAAAAAAAAACGTCATCGCTCTCGACATCAGCAGCGTAATTAAAAAAAAAACAATTATTCGTGATTATTACTAGGTGTATATTTTTTGAATGACAAAACGGTTTCAACGTTTTGACAGCCAAAAAGTCAGAAGCACATTTATAAATTAGATCTACTATTTACATAAAAACCATGTAGAAACACATGCAAGTTTACATAATTACGATTTCTGTTATGTTGATCATGCGGTATCTTGTGTTAATGTACATATCAACGTTCGTATTGTCTCCTATTTGTTTAGGTTGCCCTTATCTATTCACTCGTGAGAAGAATAGGTTATGTATGTTTTATTCAAGTTGTTTTAACTCGTCACAATTTAAAAGAATATATAACTATGTTAAACAAACACGTCCATCAATATAACAATAATGTATTAGTACGTCACATCCCTACTCCTTTTTTGTCAATCTTTTCCCACCAAATCAAACACATTACTACCTCTATCTAACAGCTCAGAATTAACTTGTGCGGCAGACAAGCCAGTCTGTTTAGGTAAGAACCTCTTTGAAGCAACTTACATTTCTAACTTTAAGAATTGCAAATACTTTAATTTATATAAATATCTTTTGTTATAATTTTGTGCAAAGTGCACGAAAATCTAAATAAAAGTATTGTTTGTGCTTAACATGCAGATACTCTTTAAAATCTGCTGAATACATTTCTAGATGTTTCAAATTGTCCATATAATATAATAATAATTGCTTATATTTTATTGTTGATCAGATATTGGATGTTGCAATCCATCAATTTAATTAGTATGTTATTGATTAGGAATACCACATTATACTAAATGTTTACGTCTATTAAGTAAGTTATTGCTTATTTTTATGTAATGTACCTACTACAATTCAATGAATAATTATGCATTTTTCTTCATGATCCGAGAAAGAAAAAAGTTACTTGATTGAATAAAAGTATTTAAAAGACCTGCCCCACAGTAATGATGACCATATTGGTTATAATTGTGCAGTTTATCAGCATACAAGGTAAGATGTTATTGTTATAATAGCGGAGTGTATTATCATAGCCCAGTGCATCAACACACAAAGTAAGTCGCATTTTTTATAATAGCCCAAAGTAATATTTTAATAAGTAAGCTGTAATTGTTACGCCTCTCGGTGTTGGAGTTCTTATTTGACTTGAACACTTTGGGGCCAGTATAAACAAGCATAAGCATGTAGGAAAATCTGCTCATACAGAAACGACTTCAATGTAAGATAATCCTGTTATTCTAACGTCGTCCTGTTGATGTAATAGTAGATTCAATATTGTTGTGGCGTAGAACGTTTCAGACAAGTTCCGAAGTAATAAATCATTGAAGCAAGAGTGCACAAAGCAGTGTCGTAGGCATGAATGGAGTTAGATGATTTACAAACACTTAAGGTTCACTCTGAAAAATGTTATTGCCATAACATCTCTGTAACATCCTGAAATATAATTTTGAATAAGTATATTTGTATATGATTGTTCAGATATTTTAGTAGCCATCTAAATCTGACGCTGTTAAGATTGGTTTCTCACACCCCACCCCACCTCATCACATGAACGAGACATGGGTGGTTTATATAAGGAAAAAGCAAAGATAATAAAAGCAGCAGTGTATTATTATATATTTAAAGAAAAACATTTTTTTATTTTTTAGTCTATTATTAAAACGCTTTTTTTTTAAATTTTGTTACAAGCTTTTATTCAACTTGATTCCTCTATCTGTTGGTCTTAATCCTATCTGTCTAGATCGACATTTCGGACAATTCTATATCCAATATTAAGGATAAAATAAATGATTTTATTTCAACTTATTATAATACTCCACTATTTAAATGAATATAAAAAGTGTCGGTCGCTCTTTCTTCTTCTTCTTCGTTCTTAATTATTAGCGTTGAAGGGGATCGCGATTTATCTGCCAGTGCGTTTGCACTCGAGACTTTTGTTCAAATTTATCAACCAAGAGCTTTTTGCCGACTCGACCACGCCTCAAACACAACTAAGCGTTACGTGTCAACTGGTTATGCGCCATTGAGGCCATTGACTCCGATTTCATCCTACTTTTCTTTTTGGATTTGCTTTTATAGCCTTTGTTCAACCAAGAACAAACTACAAGGCAGCAGTTGTTTAATTTTGGAGTTGTCTCTCCTAGAACAGTGGCTGTCCCCAGCTAACGAGCCTCATCTGCCCGAGGGTTCGAACTAGAGACTTTTCGGTTTAGCAACCATGAGTTTTACCGACTCGACCACGACGAGTGAGGGTCTGAAAATGTGTATAGTAGTCCTTCTTTACATGTGTCCCCATTTTCTTTTATTTGTCCCGTCAGTAATAAACGTTGAAAAAAAGGGTTATTAATTTTTTTTAAATATCAGAACATTTTGTCCACAAGTAAACTGTTCAGATTTTTCTATATATTTAAGAGAATACATATACCGTTTCTAAATTTAAGTACTTTTTTTAAATTTAATATTATTAATAGAATCCAGTAGGTGTACATATTATAGCTACCCACCCTTTTCTTTAAAGTTATTTTATTAGTAGAGTATTATGAAGTATTTTTTTTAAATCAGTTATTTTTCCTTTTTAGTTAATTATTGAAGCTTGTAATTACAACATTTTAAAAATGTTTTATTCAAAGCTTGGGGCTACTGGAAAAACACTTTTTTGTTATTAGTCAAGCAAATCAACTGAAACTTTAACCATATAACGTGTGAACAATAAGATTTTTAAAAATGGTTTTCAAAAAGAAAAATATTTTTGATTGCCATGGTTACGTCCGCCATATTCAATTTTTGTTTATCAGTTTCAAAATGCTAAGGCTGAGCAACCACTAGAGGTTGTTACGTCCAGGTTCAATACTTTTATTTGCTCTCAAATATTCACATTACAGAGTAGCCCTTGCCCTAAACGCTACCAACTAGTAGGGTAAACTCAACTCACACACGCACTCTCCCCTAAATTAGAGACTATTCTAACCTATTCCAATCTTACCTCACAATGACCCTTAACAGAGGTAAACACACAGAAATGCAAGCATTTTGTAGAGTAATGTTAGCCTGAAACTTTCTATAAAGTACTTTTTTTAAAAAAAAAGGGGTTTTAAAAAATTATTTTTAATTTTTAAATTATAGACTGTTAAAATAAACTGAAATTTGCTCAAATACAACACATTTTAGTCCACAACATCTTCAGAAAGAAAATCTTTTTAAAATGCTGTATAGAAGTTGTTTATACACGTCAGAAGAATATTCAGGCTAAGTTTCATGAAAATACATGCAGAATCTACAGACGAGTTGTGATTTAAAAAGTAAAGTTTGATGTTTTGAGAAAAACACAAAGAATTTTTAAAAAATAAAAATTTCATCCATAACCTAACAAGCAGTAACACAATTTGGTTTAAATTTATGCACGTTTATTTAACATATAAATATGCAATAAAGTATTAAACTTGCAAGTACATATTAAATGATGAAGTAAAAAATTGTCATACAAACATAATGCGTCAAATACGTAAAGGTAAAAACATTTTTATTTTCTAAAATAAGCTGTTTCAAAAAATGGGCTACACCACACCCAACAGTTCTATACTGTGTAAGCATATTCACATTTCATTTTGGGAACTGCTATCTAGCATTTTCATTTTCCAGATTTGTCGTCCGGCAAAATATTTCAACGTATTTAAAAAAAAAAAAACTTTGCTACCACTAAAACTATAATAATTGATTTATTCATCTCTTCAGCTCTTTTCATCTCTTCTTGTTAATAATTGTGCCCGTACAAAAATAAATGCTCTGTTTCCATGATATTGTCTGTTTTCATATTTCTCAGGTTTTCTCTTGCTAAATGTAAATTCTATAAAGGAAAGTAGAACATAAAATATTTTAGTGGAAAAAACCCACATTTTGCATTGAATGTTTATTGAACCTTAAACTAAGATGCAAAGTCATTGTAAGGTATAAGCTATAAAAAATTCTACAAACGCTTTGGGTTATTACGAAACACCACTCTATCAGCCAGATAGCTGGCGAACGTACCCGGGTTCGTTTAAATGGTTATACACAGATGGCTTAAAGCCCTATAAATGGTAGCTAGCACAACAGTCAACGAGGACACGTACTTAACGTCTAGGGGATACACTCAATGAACTCCTGATACCAACAACACATTTAATCCATATATAACTTTTAATGTGTACAAATTCAAGATAAGACTCTAGCTTTATACAGAATAAAACGAATGAGTAAAATAACAAAAACTCAGTAACTAGGATGCATGATTAAGTCATTCTCCTTTTAGCAGAATTAAATGTTGCCTTATTCTTTTACTTCGTCACTAACTCTTCAATCATTTTCTCCAGATATTGTTATGTGAAACAAAATTCTGTGTAGGGAAAATGATTTAGAATCGTGGACAAATTGCAGGGTTTTCAACAAACTCTGTTGGCCTAGATCATAGGGGAAATTAATTTAATAATTAAACATACAAATGTAAAAAGAAAGTAATCATAAAACTATAATGATATACTGGATGAATATAAGATTAGGAGATTCACTAAATAGAATTTGATTCATTAGCTGGAGGAGATAAATGGTTATCTTTTGAACTAGCAACTGAACCACTAATGAGTCTAATGACAAACAGGTCTACTAGCCTAACTAGGATGTTCAAACAAAAAAAATATGTAGACCTACTAGGCCCTAATTAATCTTTAATTTATAATAATTTGATGGATATTGAAATACTCTCCAAAAGTAAAATATATCATTAAATACGTTCCTCATACGAGCCTAGATAGCTCAGTGTATTAGGTTACCTTGCGAGTGGCACGGGTTATGTAATTTTTTTTTCATTTATTAGATATGAATGAAAAAGTTGCCTATAGGAACGAACTTGGCGGGATACATGCAGGTGAAGTAGAGTTCACCTGATTCTTTGCCCTCAGCATATAAAGGATAGTGTGGTCAGAGACATGCTGGGCCGAAATCGGTGTTTTTAAAAGACAAAAACGTCTGAGGTGTAACGTCTCTTTGAATGTGGGTCTGTTTATTTTGTGATAAGTGACAGACGTGATGTCATTTATGGATGACCCCCGAAACCCACAGTAATCTAATGATAACGGGTAGTCTAGTGATAGATATTTGTCCAATAAAAGTTTCACCCAATCCATTTCTGTAAACGGTGCATTTGTTGTCGCCCTACCCCCCACCGTTTACATGTTGATCAGTGTCATCAATTAGTGCATTATATAATCCACATAGAAAAAGCATTTAGAAGCCTTAAGCGAACAGTTATTAATTTAAATTGAAAAATTATCGTATTTAACGGTTGTAATCATTATATATATATATATATATATATATATATATATATATATATATATATATATATATATATATATATATATATATATTTTGCTTTTTTGCATTGGTGTCATTCACCAAAATTGTGTCAGTCACCCGCTGCGGTCCGCAACCCCCCCCCCCCCCTCCTCTACGCAACTGGTATCAGTTGTATTATAAAACATTAATCGATTTTAAAATGTGTTCCTCTTTTACAGCCCTGACAAGGGAAGCCGAATATAACGCTGTTAAAGACACAAATTTAACCACAATGCCCATCGGTGAAGAGTTTGACCAAGTCAGTCTTATGGCCTGCGCCTCAAGTTGTATAAGTTCCAACAAAACGTGCTACAGCTACATATACAATGAAACCACAAGACATTGCAGACTGGGTTAGTTAAATTACTTTTTAACACGTTTTTAGCACGTTTTAACACGTTTTTCTTATCTTAGCTTCGCGTTTGTTTGTTTGTTGTTAAAATTGACAACGAAAATTAGCCCACTTCTGATTGCTCTAGAGATCTGAAATTCGGCATGCAGGCTATTTTCGCCTAACAATTTCAGATTCAATCATAAAAACTAGCAAAAAGAGACCTAAATTAGCTTAATTAAAATACGCCCCTAGGACCCTGAAATTGAGGACATGATTGCTCAAAAACGCATATAAATTTATAAAGTACTAATAGTATCCCGCACTTTTATACACATTTTATTAGGCGTTCACTTGGTGTGGGACGGAGTGGTCTAGCGGTAGAGAGCTGGACTGCTAACCCGTTAGTCTCAAGTTCGAATCCGAGTTCAAGTCAGTAGACCGTCCCTGAGTCCACCCAACTCTGATGGGTACCTAACTCCTGTTAGTGAAAGTAAAGGCGGCTGGGCATAGTTCTGACCACACTATCTCTTCATATGCCGAGGTCACAGAAACAAGTGAACTCTACTTAACTTGCCTCATAGACCGTCAGGTTTGAAAGAGAAACGTTTCACTTGGTGTGGGATTCTTTTTTTATTACCACGTTTTTTTATGTTTTACAGTGTAATGCTTAAGGTGGGTGGAGAATCGACAGTTAATCTGTTCGAGGAGGGATGGACGGTGGGCCAACTACCTAAAAGCATTCAAAAACCTTTTGATCCTTTTTATTTTGATAAAAATCCTCTAAATTGTTATGTATTCAAAAACACTTAGTCAAGTCATACTTAATCAAGTCATTAGATAAAGTAGAAAATAAACTATATAAAAAACTTTTTAAAAACCACGTTTTTATGTGTAGCAACGGACTAAAAAGGAGAAAATAAAATACTTAAAAAAAACTTTAAAAAAAAACACGTTTTTCTTGTGGACTAAAAAGTAGAAAATAATTTTTTCTTACGACACTAGGGGATCTACCAATGACTGCTCGTAGATTTTGTGCTTCCTCGAGCTGTGCAGGTTATTGTGATGACTGTTCATACATTTGATGACAAAAAACGTGGGTCGGGCAGATTTATGATTTAAGCGAAAAGCACACAACACACGAATTTTGGAAATTTGATGGTGAACGCACCCACGTTTAATCCTTTAGCACTATTTAAGTCCCTTTATAAATTAGTAAAACACAATAACTTCCCTTAAATAAACAATTTACCTCGGGGAAAAAACAATTTATTACATTGTTTTGGTGTTGGGAAAAAAAATTACATTGATCGAGTGCAGTGTGATAGGTATTTTAAGTACTGCCTTTTATTTATTTTATACAATGAACGTACTTTTTACTAAATATAGTTTGTAATCAGTAACAGTTAAGAAGCTTGGAGTATTACAGTCGTTCACTAAATGTGATCAAGCGCGTCCTCCATAGTCCAGGCAAGGTTCGCTTTGGCACCCTGGGCTACCCTGAGAGCGCTATGGTGAATAATTTCGTTTTAAACAGTGCGACAGACTATGGCGCCTACGTTTGTTGAGTGTAAAATACTATGAATAAGTTGGGGTACTATAGGCGTTTACTAAGTTGAAACAGGCAGTTCCAGCGGCGCTCTAGAATGATGCAATTTTGCGACCCGGACTAGACTGTGAGCACTTTGCGTTTATGTGTGCATTTAAGCTTGTGCTTATAGTTGCGTTTATTTGCATTATTTTTAGTTATTATTTGCGCTTAGGTTTGCGTTTGTGTTTTGATTTGTATTTGCGTTTGCGTGTGCTTGTTTGTTTGCCATTTTGTTTTTGTTTGCATTTGTGTTTGCGATTATGTTATGTTTGCATTTTATGTATATGTGTTTTGGTTTTGGTTGGTTGAGGTTATGGTTAATTCAAAAAGTAATATACTTCCTAAACTCACATGGCGTTGTCCTTTACAAATACTTTTTCACAGAGGCCTATTTATTATATAAACATTGTGACCGAAGTACAATCTTTTTACAATTAATGTTCAAGTAGAATATTGCTAAATGTTTGACACACACAATTGTTACAGTTACGTAACTTAAGAAATCCGCCTTGTTGTGTGGTTTAGATAGCTATTGAATTGAATTACTGAGCTTTTTACCTAGCTGTTAGCCGGGTCTACAGAAAAAAACGTGATCGGACTATCTATTTCTGTAAAAATGTTACCTACCGCCCGACACTTGAATTTTAAGACCATGTTTAAAAACAAAACAAATATGGATAACACTCAGCAATTGTTAACATTGAGTAGAGAAGACAACATGCCTAACATGTTAACACTACACATCTTAAGGCTATAATTTTTTTCTCATTTGATATTGTCGTTAAGATTCTAATTATGGTTACAAACGGTAACAAACACACACAGAGTGTAAAGTGTTGCTTCTTTAAACAATAATTTGAAGTTTCTGGACATAACAAGCATCACATATTAGGATCTTCATAACTGGTACACACAGATATGACTTTCAGATGTCATAGAATATCTAGGACATTAGTCCCGGCATTTACACTTCGAACATTTCACCCCCTCTCTTCGAGATTACCCCTCCTGAGCGATTGCCCCTGTCAATTACCCCCTTGTCAATTTCTCCTCCTCCCCCAATTTCAAGAATCCTGACTCAAATTGCAACTCTATAAATATACTCTTAATCCTAACCTTAAGAAAACGCCTAAGCCTAAGATTTCACCTAAGCCCTATGCATTGGTTTAAGCCTAAACATGACCCTAACACTAACCGTAACCCTGACCGTGACCCTTACTGTGACCCTTACACTAACCCTTGCACTAATCCTAAGCCTAACCTTATCCCTAATCCTAACCCTAAATCTAACCCTAACACTAAGCTTAATTTTATATATATATATATATATATATATATATATATATATATATATATATATATATATATATATATATATATATATATATATATATAATTGACGCCAAATTATGCAGTTATCATTGATGTCAATACATTAACTTTATACCTCAATGTTAATACGATGTTACAGGTTCCTGGGTAGTCTCCCTTAATGCTTTTCAACAAAAAGTTCAGGGACAACTTTTCTCTAGTGGAAAGTTCTGTAACACAACCAGAAACTTTACAGTCCAGTCTGATGGTTCCATCTCCTATACAGATTTCTTGTTTTGTACAGGTTTGTAACGTCATAATATTTTGCCATTACTGATAAATTACATTTGTGTGTATACGATCTTTTATTATTTATTACATTTTAAAAATCATGTGTTTTTTTTAAAGCAGCTAATTTGCTACTATACCTTCTCACTTTGAGCATATTGTCGTTTTTTACTTACTTGTTGAATACCGAACAAACTTCTCTATTATTCTGTTCACATTAAATCTGCTGTTTAAAACGTACCAAATAAAAGGGATTATTTTATTTCTTAAGCCAGCGTTTTAATGGCACTAACCACTACATTTATGGTCTGTTGACCTTTGATTTATTTCTGCCAACAACGCGCAATGCTTAAAGCCTAATAAAAAATAAAATGACAACCTAAATTTTGTAATTTTTTTATTAGACCTAGAAGTAGGTAGCTGTACCCCCCGACCTGTGGTGACCCTACATTCTGGACGTCAGGTCATGTGTGACACAGTGACAGACGGTGGAGGATGGACCATTTTCCAAAGACGTGTTTCTGGGACAGTAGATTTTTACAGGAACTGGACCGAATACAAAAGTGGGTTTGGCGATTTCAATTCAGGTAATTTTTACCTGGGTAATGAGAACATTTATCTCTTAACGACAAAAAACAGAACAGAACTGAGAGTGGATATGATCTTCAATGGAACAAATTATTTCGCCAAGTATTCCAGCTTCAACATTTCTAGCGAGACAGACGGCTACAGGCTATATGTTGGAGGCTACACAGGAAATGCCGGGGACAAGCTAGCTGAACACAATGGTATGAAATTTTCAACGTTTGACCGGGATAATGATAAGTACAGCGGTAACTGTGCATCTTATCACAAAGCGGCGTGGTGGCACAACGCTTGTTATAGCTCTAGTCTCAACGGTATTTGGGGATATTTGGGGTCCAGGGGTATCAACTGGCTACCAAACTACAACGCAACGTTCAGTGAAATGAAATTTAGATATACTTTATAAAGTTTAAATAATCTCTCTTAACTTTGGGGAATTTTGGGGCATTAAAACTAGTGTTTTGAAAATGGACAAATTTTGAAAATTCATAAAAAATTAGTTTGAAGATATGCACTTAAAATTGTTAGCTGATTGTCCCAAAATATGGAAGAAGATTATGAATTGATTGTTTATTGGGCTTAAAATGTAATATTTTATGAATGGTGGAAAACCTACGAAGGGGTTAATTTTTCAAGATGGCCGCCGTTGTCATAGATACCAAGATTTTTCCATCACTTTTTTTTGTGGAAATGCATATGCGGATGTATCTTAATAAAGCTGTAAAGAAATAACTGTTTTCTAACAAGTATTAAAAAAGTTTTTTTTACCGGAGCCTTCCCCCTTAAATAAAACGCCAAATAACCTAAAACTGTTTCCTAATTTAAACACTCACTATATAAATCACTTTTCCGGTATTTGTTTTCTTTATCTAACATGTACTTTTACAACTTAGACAATTAAGCTAAGCGCTTAATTTTTTTGCCTTTATTGTCAATTACGTTATGAATATTGTATCTAGTTTTAAGCTTTTAATTTTTAATTTTATTTTTTATTCAACCATGACTCAATTCTATTTTTGGTTAGACGATAAATGTAGACAATACCACAGAACTATATTAGATAACCTTAATATATTCGTAGTTACTGCATATTGATTCTAAATATAGTCGAAGCCATATCCCCTGAACCATAAATATAAACTCAAACTTAACAAAAGTCGCATTTAGAGTTTCTTTCAGGCAACTTTTCTACCGCACCGTCGAACGAAATAAAATGTCTATAGAAAATTTATGGTTTACCAGTGTCCATCTCCCTCCCTGAAAAATGTAGTGCGATTCCCCTAAAATAAATGTCAGTACCTCCTTTTCCCGGCGAGAAAAAACACTGGAAGAAACACTTGTCGCACAAAAACTAAAGGTTGACCCGATATCTATAATCTAAAGACCCGTTTCCTAAAATCGCTCCGCTAAACCTAAATCATAGAGACTTCTCCTGGGGGGGGGGGGGGGGGGGCACAATATATTTTATGCGGATGCGGATTAAATTATCCGGGTAAGGGGGCTGGCACTAGTAAAGTATATATTTTCTATATCAATTCTATTTCGTTTGAGGGTGGGGTGGCGTACACGTTCTAGGAGGTTGGGGCTTTATCACTCACCTAAAGAGATGCCTGAAAGAATATCTGCATGCAGACCAAAATTAATATGAGACAAATAATTTAATACGATAATGTCAGTGTCTTTAATATTACGTATTAATTACCTATTTGTATTTTGTATTATTTTTGGCTTTAAATTTTGTAATTCTTTGATTACTCTGTAATCAATGACCTCATGTTATAGTGTGTATTTTTTTGGGTTTAGAAAATATTTCGTTTCGTTTTATAAGTTTTCTAGATGCTCTACGATTGTTTACTATGCGTCTTTTGAATTTCCTTGTGTTTTCAATAGATCGTCCCTGACAGACAGGCAGTCAGACAAAAGAGCGAAACTGTTATAATAGACTAGACTACCTGTTATCTAGTTAGATAACTTTTGGTTTCTGGGGTCATCCATAAATGTTTTTACGTCTGTCACTTATCATCACAAAACTAACCAGACCCCCACATTCAAAGAGACGTTTTTTACTTTCTCGTATATACGAAGTATAGAGAAAGTCTTGTATTCGTGCAAAAAAAATCGATCTTTTTGCAAATCTCGACCTTTTACACCTCACTGATACGGAAAAACATAATTTTGCAATCTTGTCCGTATGTCTGTGTGTCTGTGTGTGTGTGTGTGTGTGTCAATGTGTGTGTAAACATGATAACTTGAGTACCGTTACAGGTTGGTTGATGAAATTTCATATATAAGTATTTTATCAAAATCGTAGATCTTGAACAACTTTTGAGCGATTTCCTACAACCGAAAGTGGTACTTTTCCTACTTTGAATTTTTCACAAACCAATAACTTGAACACTATTTGAGATAGATAAATGAAATTTCACATGTAAGTATAATATCTAATGTTTTACTTCTTTCTGTCAATGTCCGTTGACCGGCAGTAGTAATTTACGCTATTTCCGATTTCTCGAAAAACGCATGAAAATTTATAAAGTACTAATAATATTGCGGATTATTATGCCCTTTTTTATTTGGCATTCAATTGGTGTGCAATTTTTTTTCTACGAGATTTTATTCTATTTTAAAAACTTTAAGTATTTAAAATAGATTAAGGGGGTAGGCTCCAGAAAAAACCAACTTCTTAAGTAAAACCTTTTATTGATTCATTTGTGTATATCCAACTTAGGGTACTTGAAGGAAAATATTTCCATGCATCAGGGACTTTTTTGAAAATATGGTTGCCATGGCAACGGCGGCCATCTTGAAAAAAACATCATTTTCTAGAGTTCTAAAATTTCATAAACTAACATAAATATCGGCTATATAACCATTGATCCTTCTTGTACTAACGCTAATAGAGTCAGCTGGCTAGTTTTTGTAACAGAAACCACTCTAGAAATATTTTTTTTTAATTTTCAAAATTTGGTGTGACGAAATTCCAATGAAAATAATGCTAAATTCAATGGAATTTCACCACACATTTTTTTTGAAAATTAAAAAAAAATATTTCTAGCTGTTTTTTGGTTACAGAAATTAGCCAGCTGACTCTATTGGTGTTAGTACAATAAGGATCAATGATTATATGGGCGGTTTATATGTTACTTTAGGAAATTTTAGAACTCCACAAAAGGTAGTTTTTTCCAAGATGGCCGCCGTTTCCATGGCAACCATATTTTCAGAAGAGTCCCTGGTACGTCCAAATATTTTTCCTTAAGTACCCTAACTTATACATAGGCAAATAAATGAAAAAGGCGTATTACTTAAAAAGTTTTTTTCTCCGTTTTTTTCGGGAGCCTATCCCCTTAAAAATCATGTCTATAGCCCGAGTTTCCATCCCCTGTTGTTATATATTAGAATATTCGAGAAAGTTTAGGGGAGATCACTCCCTGTTTATTATCTTTTAAAAACACCGATTTCGGCTGAGCATAGGTCTGACCACACTATCCCTTTCAAATACTGACGTCACAGGTGACCTACGTAACTCTACTTTACCTGCCCAGTGTCCCACCAAGTCTCAGGCAACATGTTTTTATCGTTTAAAAAACGATTGCGGCCGAACATGTCTCTGACCACAATATCCCTTCATATGCTAGGACAAAGAAACAGATGAACTTAACTTCACCTGCCATGTATCCCGCCAAGTTCATATAGGCAACTTTATCATTCACATGTAAAAAAAATTTAACCCGTGCCACCTGCATGAAAGCCTATTACACTAACAACTTAGCTATCTGGACTCGTGACGTCATTGAAGTATTATTGTGGTATAGTTTAATACTTTGTGTCTCCTTATGCAACTTGATTTACGCGCATATGCCCTATCTAGATCTAGATCTAGTAACTTTCAAATTAAATTGTATCTTAAATTAGACTATTCCATAGCTAACAAACACAGATTAATATAAAAAAATGAAGGTCTGAAATAGTTTAGCATAGAAACTCATTATTATCTAGATTCAGATAGAATTATCTAGATTCTACGACTGGTTTGATTAAGTCTATATTTTGCCTTAACTCTTGATATAGATCTAGATTAAATCTAGATCTAGATATATAAATCACTTGTATTCTTAAATTAGATGATCCGTGAAGTTTAAAAGCAAAGATGTATATCAAGTATTTAAGGACTAAAATAGTTTAATAAAGAAACTCAATAAACAATAATTATTCGGTTCGACCAAGATTCTGGGACAGATGATCTTTGTCTTTAGATTGTAGAGCTAGAAAAATGTAATGTAAAACAGCAAACGGACGTATTGTTAAAGTTATAGCCGAAAAATTAGCTTTAGAACGCGTTAAACATTGGATTGGGCAACACAATCTTCGATGGAAGCCGCAATTGTTTTAAGTAAAAAGTAAATAAATCATGTGACGTCACTATACTTTCTAAGTAAAGACATTGTTCAGAACGTTTATAATTAATGTGATTAATTTACCAATGAATAAATCAATAAATTTATTAACTTCTGTAGATAAATTTGTGATTTACAGTCTGTCTGAAAAACAAAAATTATTCTCTACCTACATACTATTTTAAATCTCTACACATAGTGCAGGTTCTCTCCTGTAGCCAAGCGGACAAACAAAAAAATAAACAAAAAATAAATATTCAAACATGTAAACAAATTTGAGTTTTAGTGGTATATAGATGGACAGTTATCTTTAAAGGAAATATAGTAAATACCATACATTTGTGAGTTTAAAAATGAATGTAAAAAGATAAATTTTCTGCTTTTTGGTAAGGCACGTTATGCTTTCATAATTTTTAAAATTTTAAATCTCATTGTAAATTAAATTCAATGTAGGAATTATCTATATAAATTAAAATGTTATCTCTGGGTTTTCATTGTTTATAAATTAACAACGTGTTGCAAAACAGATTATAATTGAAGGAAAATCTATAGTATAAGCGGGCTGGTAGTGTGTCAGTCGGTCATCGCTATAGAATTTGGAACCATGTGGAAGTCTCTCCCTGGACGCGGACGCCCTGAAAAACAGGTTGTTCGGCGGCGGTTTAGATGACGACGCGAGTCTGGGCGGACGTTAGTGAGAGCATCGGCCCTAAATTGTTTTACCTTAATTTAATTTTTGGGAATATCCATACTCGCTCCAAAGTGCTACCAACACCCGCGCGCAGCACGGGGCGCTAAATGAATATCCGCCCCAATATGGGGACCCCCATTTGCGCGCAACGCTGTAAACTCTGAGCGTTTGCGTTTTCGTTTGTGCTTTTGTGTTTACATTTAAGCTTGCGTTGTGTTTGCGTTTTCTTTTGTGTTTGTGTTTGCGTGTTGCGTTTGTGTTGTTTGTTTTTGAGTTTACGTTGTGTTTAAGTTTGTGTTGTGTTTGTTTTTTAGTTTGCGT